GAGAGAGGAAGAGAAAGAGAAAGAGAGAGAAGTATTCCCTACTGCAAGTCGGAATATCAGACAACGAAAGAATCTTCGCGATGAGCGTTCCGCTTCTCTTATTATCTCTGGCGGAACGAGTAACACGGGTAAATTCATTTTTCGCAAATAAGCAGATTCGTCTCCCCCTTTATGCTTATAACATCACAACGCGCGGCGCACACTCCAGAAAATTACCTGACTCCGGAATGATCCGCGCATGCTATTTCGAGCGGATTTCCAGCCTCGCCGCGGCGCGGCACGGGCGGAGCCTGTTTTGATGGCTATAGCCTGTATATCGCGGTTCATTATCACTCGTTGCGGACATGTTTCATCGGATTGCTCCGCCGAAAGGGAAAATGTTATTTAGGATATCAAAGATGCGCCCGCAGAGAGACGGCGAGGCGAGAGTGGAGAACCCGAGAGAGCGAACCCGCATTGTGTAAAGCTCGGGTTTATAAGCTCGCGCGCGGCGTCGTCGCCGGTATATATAAAACCAGGCAACGTGTGTAAGGGAATTCGGAGGACGATGATCGGGTGTTGGGTGCCGTTACGTCGAGGTTCCCGACCACGAAGGGGGTTGCAACGTGGCCGTTTTGGAGGACCGCTGACCGCTGCATCAAAGACCCGGAGGCGCATTTATGGCGCGCCGCCAGTGTGTGTGGCCGCCGCACCGTACCGTAGTTTGTAACGGTGAGCGTAATGTGTGTATAAGGGACTTTGTAATTATTGGGTTTAATCGAAGGTTCCGTTCGATTTTTCAGTACGTCCCGATTATCCGAATTGGTTATCGAAAACCCATTAGTACACTCTCGCGAGATGAGGCGGCCGCGTTTTTATCACTCCCTTTTTTCCCCCCGCGAAAGGATCCAAATGTGCCGCTCATAAATTCAGTAATAATTCTTCCATGTATCAATGCCCAGGCTTTTAGTATTCTCATAAACGAGCTCGAGCGCTCCTGAATAAAATACTGATTCGCGAGCGCGCATTATCTTGTACCTTGCATCTCTCTACATGTTAAGATGTCTATTGATATTCTGTCCTTTTAACGTTCCAGGATAATATATATTTTTGTATTTTCCTGTTTATACCTATATATATATATATATATATATGGCAGAGAAAGCAGGTCAATGAGCGTTCAATGATTCTTTTACGATTGGTTTCTACACTTGGATCCAGGGAAGAACCCAAGGCAAGGTCCAGTCATTTTAAAATATTACTGATCGCTCGCTGAGTTGCTTTTTCTGTTGAACGCAACCATTGAAATTCATTCACGTCTCAGAAATGTTTATGATAACACCATTTCTGAAATACGAATAGATTTCAATCAGGACTCACTTCTTCCACGGTAAGAAATTCAGTCACCGCCCTTGTTTGTTACGCGTATCTAACACACCAGTTTGAACTGTTCGTGTGACACAGTAAAGTCTGATCACAACACCATTCAACATAACGCAACTAGAGGCTTCAAGTGACAATTAACTCAGTGAAACGCAAAATTTTCGAAAGAAAAATATTAGAAGGCATTACTTTTCGTACCGACTCTCGTAGTTGGGCACGTAGCTCGGCTTATAAAGTATATAATCCGATCCATTTATGGTCCATCTCGCGTATGCGCACATTTTTATGTTATCCACCGTGCGCGCCATGCGATAAGGAACGAACACCGCTCGCGGTATACTCGCAGCGGATTTCAACGCGCGGATACATTCTAATTTACGTTTAACAGGCTATTAAAGTTTATATACATTCGGCGGGAATCTGGGGTGAAGTTGAATCGTAATACGAACACTATGGGGGAGGGGGAGAAGGCGGGGGCGTATTTGGAAGGGTGATCACTGAACCCAGCATCAAAGAGCTATACCGGGGCGTTTATGCCGGATTGCTCGCCGCGCGGCTGTATTTGCGCTTTGTGCAAGATATTCACCGTATACGCGAACCAGTTCGTGAATGCGAGTGCGTGCGCACGCATGACTACGCGCCCCCGCGCATTTTTGACAGGTGCCAAAAAATTTTTTTTCGATTTTTCGCGGCAATTGTTTCGTCAACACCGCCGCTGGGGCCGGATGTGTACGGCTCTTCTGGAAAAAGAAAAACATCCAGCGGTGTCAGTAGCGCAAAACTAACGGGAACACGTCCCTATTTGAAGGACCTGCGCTTAACGACGTACTCGAAATACTGCAGATCGAAGTTCGTTATCGTTTAGATTGCTGGATCAAAGAGCGCTTTCATTTACAATTTTCCATACACCAAAGCCGACGCTGCGTTCTCTGCGCGTAATATTCACTCGCGCGCTCGCGGTTTTATCCGCTATACAGTATCCGCTGTTCTATTTTTGTGCCCAATTTTTAGTATAACGATTAGAAAATTATTTGCATGCTTAAGTATAAGTGCACTGCACAATATTAAAGGAAAATTTAAACCAGTACTTTAAGTTAAACAACATTTTAAATTACCGCGTGTATCGAAATTTATTATTTTAACACAAAACAGTATTATTATTTTAACTTCATTAGTTTAATTAAATTATCGACATATTGAGAAGCAGTGACAATCTAGAGAAATGGTTAAAAATGACTAAAATTGAGTATAATTCGTAAAAACACTACGAATTTAACAGTGCGGCACAGCGACTCTTCATTAATCGATTTAGAAGAAACTCGAAATGAAGCAAACAAAGCTGGCCTCGCTCTTCCAACCACTTAAAAAAATTAGTAATATAAATTTACGATTTATGAAAAATAATAATAGTATTTTTTTATAAAATATGCTACTACTAAAAATTTCCCCGTTGTACAATAATAGCCGAATTTTTTGCATAACACGCGGTATTACGACGTAAAATCTCTTCTCTCCCCTGCGATTTTAACGTGAAAGAATTATTCGGGGCAATTTTACTCGGATCAAAATTCGGTGCTTCCGTTTCTAACAACGTTCAATAATCTCCCATGCATATTTCACCGCACGCGCCGTCGAGCCTCTAAACGAACTGTAGCATATGACAGAATACGCGCTCGTGTTTAAAGCGGATTTATCTCGGGTAACGATGAAACAAGCAATATGTGCGGTATGGACTCTGTGTCGTCGGAGATCTCGGGTTTTCATATTTTCGGTACGATATCATTGGATGATCGTTGCGATACATGATTTACATGTAACACACGATAACACATGTCGATAACGAACGATCATACGTTACAGGTATTGCCGAAGACCTACCTCCACTCTCTTTCTCGCTTCGACTCGTAATTCTTCGCCTAATGATGGGTTTCTATTCTCGCATCGTTGTGTCTTATCTCCTAATATAATCGAGGTATCAAATCGCAATGAGAGAAAAGTGCATCGCGCGGTGCTTCGGTATAATAAAACACGCGTGTCTGTATATGAAAATCGCCGCGGGCCGAGTATCATAATCCTATCGTGTCATCGGATCTACGTGGGATGACGCGGCGAGGTCGCGATCCGTGGCAACACACAAACGAAAATTACACAGCGGGTCGAATTATAACTCGGCGGCGAAAGAGCGAGGAATCCTCTCTATAAGCCGCCCCCGCGAACTCATTTCCGCGACTATAACGCGCTGAATCACGGATATGGCGAATGATGCGAAAAGTTTCCTACCTGCCTCTCAAGAAGCATCCGGGAATTGTTTTTCTTCCATCAAGTATCTCTGCTCGAATTTTCCGTCTACCCCTTAAGTTCTCCGCGAGTAAAAGTTGAAATTACGAAACAGAGAGGGGTTACGTCTCTCAGGGTTTGAGGGGGGGGGGGGGGTGTAAGATTCGCGGGAGAAATTCCGCGTCTATCGCAAACAATCACGACAGGTAACGTTGGTATTTGCGCAATCAGCGAATAATTCACTCGCGATCTTGCGTGCTTAGTGCAGTAAACGCGCGATTTATATATCACGTTAAATTTATCATATCAAAATCATTCCGCGAATATCAACGGTTTTCGACGCTTGAATTCCAACTGAAGTCAGTGTATGTCGTTGCAACGTGTGCATGAATTCCCCATTGAGATTCGCAAGATTCCTCGTGAAATAACGCGGCTAATAGCCCGACTCAGTGCGATCATCGCACCGTGAGAGAGACAACCGTGGATGGCAGATATCAAACTGCCGGAATTGCTGCTTCCACGGTGTATTGATATTCAACGGGCGTCCGCCTGATAAAGCGTCGAGTGGAATATTCAATCAAGCGTGGTGGCGAGAGGGTGAACGAGAGCAGGAACGGGCGGGGGGGAGGGGAGCGCATCTTGCCGACCAGATGCTGCGCGACGACTAAGGTAGACGATGACGGTAAAAGGTGGAACAGGAGATCCGCGCGAAGAACCGTGAGGACGGCGAGCGTGTTGATCGACGCTGCTTGCGCATTCCTGGCGAGGACTTAAGGAATAACGTCGCTAAAGCGAAGGTAAACGATTCCTCGGCGTCAACGAGTTCACGAAGGGGAGTCCTCGGCTGGAAAAGTAATTCGATATAGAAGCGGCGCGTGCTCCGTCCTGATCGCGTGGATTCTTTAGGTTTCTTCCCGTGGTATTACCCCCGGCGCGGAATCGCGACGAGCGGCCCGAGAGATTAGATGTGTGTTTAAAGTGAAGTGTATTTCTAGAAGAACAGGAGAAATCTTCTCGACACGCACTTTTCTACCTGATGTACCGATCCAGCTTTTAATGCAGGCCTACCGCGCGTTAATCTTTCAGTAAAGAGGATTTATGTCATATATTTCCACCTCTATTGTACAAGGGTAGCAATATGTTACTGTCAAGCGGTTATACGTTCTCTCTGCGTTAAAGCGACGCGTCGGTACAAATGTAACGAGTTGTATAACTGATTCGAGATTGTTCTTACAGCGGGCAAAACCCGCGTGATATTCAGTTACACCTATTTTTGTAGTCTCATTCCAATTATATTCTTGAAAATACAGATATCCATAATTTTTTTGTTTACAAATATATAATGTTTGTAATGTACGAACCTGGACACCTCGGGTGAATTCGTTATTGCAGTAGATATGGACGGCGGAGAATTCCCTGACTTTGTCGAACTCGAACTTGATCTCGACCGGCTGGCCGCGGCTGTCGTTCCTCCAGCCCACCCAGCCCTGGGCGCGATCGTTCTGTTTCTCGTAGTACATTTTGAAATTATCAGGCCCCGTTCTGCCGTCCGTCAGCTGACCCAGGCCACGGCGCAGCTCGCCGTCCCAGTGCCCGTCGTAGGTCGCGTCGAAGAATTCCCATCCGTTGCCCCTTTTATCGCCCTGGGGCATCGAGTAGGATACCACGCCGTCTGCGGGAGGAAGAGTCAAGATACGTTGTTGACCTTTCTATTGACGATACTGTCTTCGATTTGTTCGGGAGTAAATCACACGACCTTTTTTATTTCTTTATGACAGATATATAAAATGTACATTAATACAAATAAGTAATATACATTTTATACGTGGTATACGGCTTCCAATAAAATTTTTAACACCTAGCATAGCATGAAATATAAACGAAAATTGCTATATTTAAAAAAAAACGTGATATCGAGTTCGCTTACAAAATTAATTATTTACATACTGAATATGATAGTAATATTACACATAATCTAATATGTTATATGCAAATACTTTTACGCATTGTATTAATCCGAATGGGCGCCTAATTTTCTTTGCATAAATGATTACTGTAAAGAGATTTTTACACCCCAATTAAAAGTTATCGTTATTAACTATACATATTTCATATTTTTAATTGTTCTATAATTTATCAGTATTTGAGGACAATAATGTACCTATACTTAACATTTCTTTACTTAACAAAAAAATATTTACAAAGAAAAAGAAGCATATTAAAATTACTATGACGTGAGCTTTATTTTTTCAATACTGGGATGTAAAAATTACTCCAAGCGTTCGTTCCCGAATTAAGTGTCGAGAATATGTAAAAAATCAGAGATTGATATACTTTTCTACATTTTAAGCTCATATAATTTGATCTTTTAAGCTACTTATGAAACAAACTGCTCGTACAAGCGCATTTGTGCGTTCGCCGAGTGACTTTATAGTCTAACACGCGCACTAATGATTTACCGCATTTCCGGCATTGAGAGCACACCCATTCGACGCCCGTAACTAATTCGATTTCCGGGCGAAAACGGAATTATACGAGCAAGATTTTGAAAAGCAAATTTGCTCTGGGCACGCCGGTATCAGGGTTAATGGACAGTCCGGCGGCGGCGGCGACGGCGGCGGCGGCGGGTGTACCGGGTCCGCGGCGCAAGTTTCACGAAAATTGGCGAGTGCAAACAGCTTACCGCTCCAGTAACACCCGTAGAGCTCGACCCGCATGCAAACCGTCCGCCTGTGATAGCTGTAGGGTAGAAAACGGATCTTGCTCGCCCACAGAGGCGGCTCCAGCTCGCGCTTGGACTCCAAATACGTGTTCGTGTTACCCGGTATTACCTGAAAGCACAGAAAGCGTCGGTTCAAGTACAGGACAATTTCAGTTTTCGGTCCGACAAACGGCGTTTGAGCATTGCCAGACACACCGCCACTGGTCGGCGGAGTCTCATTAGCTCTCTTTCCGCAACGGCGTTATACATTAACCTCGGACTGTCGGATATTTGAGCACGTGCGCCATTCCCGCCCGTGCCATGCCGCGCTTTTTGTACCGCCGCATATCGGACGATGCCGCCGATGTATACGCGAGTAGCTCGTGGATGCAAAACAGCGGACTTTTATGTGCGGCAACAGTCAGCGAGATAAGAATTTTTAATATACCGTACATTTTTGAGCCGGCCGATAGCTGTAACTTCAGCGTGGCGTCTTATGCATACGTAAAAAGGAAGAAGTCTGTACTGTCGATAAACTGTCTCGGTAAAACCGAATCTTGCCGTCAAATTTTTCGCTACGTTAATGAATTTGTGACGTTCTTTGCAAATCCACGTACAACGTGTCCTCACGTGGTATATCAATCGGATATAATCCGGCAGGTCGGAAAAAGCATTCGGACGCGTTACTTTATATCCCCGTTTGGAACGTCGCGATTGTCTGGCAGTAGCCGATGACATTTATATCGTCTGGACAATGTCTGCGAAATTCAGCAGCGCGAAATGCCGCCTCTCCTCTCTTTTCTCCCGGACTCGAATATGTCCTGTCATAGAATGGACATCGCGTTCCACGGGATCACACGGGGGCTAAGGACTAATTTCACCCTACATTCCACCGCATTAGGTCCGACAGAGACGCACGGATAGAGAGAGAGAGAGAGAGAGAGAGAGAGAGAGAGAGAGAGAGAGAGAGAGAGAGAGAGAGAGAGAGAGAGAGAGAGAGAGAGAGAGAGAGAGAGAGAGAGAGAGAGAGAGAGAGAGA